GATCCCCTTACCGCGATTATCAGTTACCCCTCGTACAAAGGCTCCGTCTATAGAAGTCTATGGGCTAGATCGCGTGTCTGCTGCTTTGCTGTTCGTTCAATTGAACTTCACAGCGATGAAGCAAAATATGGTGAAATTTATTTTGCAGCATCTAGTAACAATTCTTCAACCAATAGCAGCGAGTTGCTGCGGCAGTATGCTGCGCATGAAATGGTACCTTAAGTCCCAGTCTACAATAGATGATTTAAGCCCTAAGCTTTAAGAAATTGGCCAATCACGGTCAAGTATGAGTAGAATGCGCGACTGTGATTAGTCAATTTCTTAAGGCTTAGGGCTTAAATCTCTATTGTAGACTGGGACTTACAGCTCTGGGGCTCGATTCTTGAATTTATTCGAAGGAGAAACGTATGCGAAAATTCTGCTCTCACAGAAAAGTTGCAAGTTGATTGGCTATTCGCGTGGCTTTAACCAATCGACTTGCATCTTTTCTGTCAGAGCAGAATATTCGTATACGTTTCTTCTTCGAATGATTTCGAGAATCATTCGGGCCCCTGGAAAAAGCAGCCCCAGCCCCAGAGAGTCGACAACTTGCTGATCGCTGATTGGCTGAGGGCGACAGAGGTCTCTGTAGTCTCTTCTGTTGAGACCCACTGCCGCATAAATTTCACATCTTTGTGGTCTATGGCCTTAACAGTCGGTAGCTTGATGCGAACTTTATGGTAAAGATGTTTTAAATGTTTTTGGAGTAAATGTCATTAGGCCTGTTCTTTATTACTGCACTACTGAACTAGTGTAATAAGTTAAAATGAAACAAATAGATTACCTCTCATTCCAACTCATTGCACCAGTGTGCACTAGTTCAGGAGTGCAGCAATAAAAAACAGACCCATTGCATAGGGCGACTGGAAGCCAAATAACCGGAAGAAAAAGAAGAAGTAAATGTCATAATGGATATAAGGCAAAAAGTTATACAAAAGTTCAACGAACACTTGGGATCGAATTTAAAAAATCTTGAAGGAATTTATGATTTCCAAGAACGTCTCAAAGCGGAGAAGGATGAAATTGAAAAATCAGTCGGTATTCATTTACAAAGTAGTCGAATATGTAATGTTACAAAACGTTATATACTAATTACTTTTCGTCCACAGTTGTCGATGGCATCAACCACTGCTCCATCCAAGGTGAAAGCAGTCGTCGAGAGCGTAGAACATATTAACGGTGAGGTCGAGCAGCTGGAAGAAACTTGTTTGCGCCTGAGCAAAGAGATCGAAGAGATGTTTAGCGAGAATGACAAAAATTTAGAGCTGCAAAAAATTATTGACAAGATAGGGCAGCTGGATAAATCGTTATCCTATCTACTCTTCTTAGAATATATCGAAAACATTAGGTAATAAGCGGTCAAGAGATGTAAGTAGAATGTTTGCTGATTTCCCTATTAAATAGTTATAACACTTGCACCCAGCGACGAGATGGAGACAGCCTTGTTATCTAATGACGACCAATCTATGATAACTCTATACATAAACTTGACAAACATCAGTTGCCAGTTGCAAACCTCTGTGTGTCGCCATTTGGTCAGCTATGTTCACGAGACCTTGCACTTCTGGCACAATCTGATAAAGGAGAAATTTTTGAAGTACGCTCTTTTCTCGAGTACGTTCAAATTTGTATACTGTACACTTTACGAGCATGCAATATTTACAGGGAGTACAATGACTTATTGAAGACGCTAAAATGGCCTTTCTGCGGCACCAACGCCACTTCGGTGAATGCACCTTTGCCAGAAATAATGACAAGATTCAAGATAATCACTGAATATCTCTTTCAACTGCAGTTACCGTATCCTTGTAATATACAATTTAATCGTGATGCCTACACTTAAACGATAAATTACAGTTGAACTGTAAATCAACGAGACTGTATATTATCCTTAATGTGTATTTAGAGAAGAAATGATAAAACCTGTAGTAACATCTGTGCTGCTAACTGATTTTGCACCAGTTAGTTTACCGATCGCCTTTTTAGTACGTCCGCTCCGACAAAGATTCGTTTATCATTTCACAGGAGCTAAATTGACGAATCGTCAGGACAAACCGGAATGGTTCTTTACGCAGATATTAACGTGGATCAAGGACCACGTTCAGTGGGTGCAAAAGAACATTCAACCTGTGGCAGATTCTATAGGTTTTGGACACTTGGATATAAAGGTTTGTGATATGATCCAATTCTGATTTCAGCTAATTTTGGTGCTAAATTTCTGATTACTAATTGCAATATATTAATAGGCTGAGTTTATGCGCGCTCTAGTTCAGTTAGCCGTTGAGAAACTTCATTCCGAATTGCCCATAGTGCAGTACGATGACGCTCTATTTGCGCATTTGGTAGATGAAGCTTTGGGATTTGAAAGAGAGTTGCAAGAAACTCTGCTATATCCACAAACTCAGCCAGCTACCATTTTCGTTCTTACGCAGGCACATATTTTTGTAAAATGGATAAACATGGAGAAGAAATGTGAGTGTAAACAAGCAATTTTGTACTCTTTGTTCACTCAAATACGTATATGTATTGTATATTTGTGCTGTTTAGACGCGACTGAAAAAATGGATGCAATACTAAGCTCAAACACAGCATGGGAAAGGCTGGCGGGTCCTGATATAGATGATATGAAAGTCACCGAGTGTGCGGATGCCTTTCTCACACTCCTCACTACGATTTCTGATAGATATAAACATTTGCCTCAACCCGGTCATAGGTGAATCATACAAGATCATTATAAATGATGAAAGAGATCACAATACTGACAATTACTTACATTAACATTGTTAAAGATTACAGTTTCTTGAGCTGCAATTAGAATTGGTTGACGACTGGCGAGTACGATTGTTGCAATTGTTACATGAAAATTATGAAAATCCGTTAACGTCGCTTATGCCGCGTATTCTCAATACACTACATTATGTCGCGACTGTTTTGGAAGAATGGGGCGCGACTGTTGTATGTATATTTTCATCTACAATTACACAAACTACTAATATGCTATTTCTCAATCTCGCGTTTGTGTGTAGCACTTCTTACAGTTGCATTTTTTCAAGCAATTTGAAAGTGTGGAAAATGCTACTGACAGAGGTAACGACGTTAACGAGAACATCGGGGACATAGAAGGGATTGTATTTGACGAAGCTGTAGTTCTCTTACAACGATTAGAGAAGGAATTGATAAATGAAATCAGTGATTCAGTTGCTTTAGATGTAAAGGCAAAAAGTAGAGCTTACAGGACGGATAAGTAAGAATTTACCGTTTATTATCACGATTACGTTCCATTTATTATTACATTTATTAAGTATTTTTTATTATCCCAAGATGGTTTGCGATGCAATCTTCCAAAGAAGTTGCTTCGTTATCAGTAACACCAAGTGGCTGTCCTATGTTCCAAGAACTAGCTACACGTCTTCACATATTGCACAATGTTCTTGCACTGCCGTTGTTTAATCAAGCTTGGAAAAATTTAGCCGCTCAATTTGACCAAGTATGCAAGATAAAGATTAAAAAATATTATACCATCTATTATAATTTATATCTTAAATATTTTTTTACAGTTTCTTTTCGAAGAAGTTGTACTTGTAAATCATTTCAATAGCGGCGGCGCCGAACAATTACAATACGATATTCTGAGGAATCTATTTCCATTATTTGGTCTATATATTAGCCAACCAGAATCGTACTTTCCTTTGTAAGTCTCTAAAAATTATTCGCCTAATTATTAAAATAAATGCCGTAATTGAACTATCTTAATGTTTCAGAATCAAAGAAGCATGTATACTTTTAAATGTCTTGACAGGTTCAGCGATATTGCTTGAAGAAGCACTAAATAATAATAACAAAAATGCATTGGTAGAGATTTTGGCCGACGTCGGAGTGCACAAAATGTCTGCTAAACTTGCTCTGAAAGTAATAGCGACAAGGACAGACATTATCCATATATAGGGAATCTTTTTCTTGAATATATTCTGTAAAAATAAAATTTATCGTAGTAGGTTTTTCGCGCTTTCCGTTAGATTAGATTAAAATTTAAATTATATATACTTTTCTGTTCTATCTCGTTGGCTGCGTTCAGCAGAAATACTGCTTTGCAGCTGTTGTAGAAATCTTGAGCCTGATTGGCGTATGCTCTTAAATAATCTTAGCTGAATCTGAAAGCGCACTCCAATCAGACTCGTGATTCTACAACAGTTTTAAAGCAACTGTTTTTCTGCTGAATACAGTCATTATTGTATTTAATAAAGTTCATGTACGCTCTGTGTAAATAACATTTAAAGAGCTCTTAACACAGTAGCGTTATTCCACCATTGTCAGCGCCTAATAATAGCAATCGATTGAGAGGGAGGACAGCCATGGCAGTAAGAATGCCTTTAAAAGCATCAGATCTCAACTTGGACGAACTTAACGAAGCAGTCATTTCTACACCGGTATAGACACCAATTCGGTTTGCTGTTGTTCCTATCACTAATGCCTGCTCGTGCATTGCCATGCAATGAACAGGCTCTGTTGCGCCTCTGAAAATTAATGAAGAAAATAATTCATGTAAATAATATTTTGTATACCCAACTTTAAATAACAATATTGCAGGTGTTCCTTACTTCATGTGAAATTTAAGTTTTCCATCTATTGTACTCCATACGGCTATAGTTTGATCTAAAGACGAGCTAACTATGGTGGTTTCGTTTATCGCTTCTAATTGCAGTATCTGTAGCATTAGAAGTCAATAAAATAACGATAAGTTCCTATATCTCAAAGTTGATAAAAGTTAATCGCATATTTACCTCGCATTCATGTCCCTTCCAAGATGCGATAATCAGACCGGTGCGAGTATCAAGTATCGTCAAGAAGCCTGACGCCTGACCTAAAGCGACCCAATTACCACTGGGCGACACTGCGATACATCTTATTAAGCCAGTCGGATTCATGGAAACCTTTTCGTATGATTTAATATGTTAAATCTTACACGAATACGATTGTAATTTCACATGTTTTGTTTGATTGATATACACATTTTATGCTTACTTTCATTTCATTGACATACTGAAATGTTCTACAATCAATAACTCTAACAGTAATGTCTGTTGTTCCCACAAGAAGAGTCGTGGATGGGGAAGGACTCGGGGCTAAAGTGTTAACAGGAACGGATCGACTACTTTCCGGACATCCTAGGAGTGAGCCCATAAAGGGATCCCAACAATGAATCACGCCATCGCACGTCACTGCGTATCTTAAAGATTCCAGGAATGTAAGCGAAAGAATAGACTTTTTGTGCCCGGTATATGTGTATTGACACGATGAGATTGTAGTTCCATCACCCTGGTTCCATCAGTTACATCAGTAAAATCATAAGTCTCATTATTATACATTTTATCAAAATGAAGGGTATGTATATTACCTGACTTCGTAAACTCCATAATTTCACAGTTTTGTCTCTACCGCCACTCATAAAACTGTTCTCATTGTCCAACACGTAAAGACATCTCACACTATTTGTATGTCCGTTGAAAGTTTGAAGTTTTATCTGCTTTATATTAAATATCGTATCCTTTTCCGGTCTTCCTATTTCATGCTCCCAGTAGGCTAGCCAATTACCGCGTAACTGTCTGCCAGCGGATGACGGACAGGTTGTTTCGCGATTGACAACACCCATCTCCGTTGCCGACTGAGACCTCGCGTCATCCTTCTGTATCTCGAATCTATTTCCTATGACTGATATGTTTCCAAAGCTGCAGACACCTTTATCAATCGACTCTACATTCTCTGCCACATCACAATCCACAGAGGTATTGTACTTATCCACGTGAACTTTAACAATGAGAAAAAATTATGAATATATTATTTACGTATTATTTGTAACAGCTAATAACTAAGGAATTTTATGAGATGTCCACCATTATTTAAGGAGGTTGCTTTTATCCCCTGCTCGTAATCGTGACAAAGCTCTTGTACATGCTCGTGATTTTTAAGTATATGTTGCATCACTTCAATGTCGACACATCTATAAAAAAGCATGTATGATCTATGAGCAAACTCAGTGGTGAATACAGCTCGTAGTTCTTCAAATGCCTGTAAATAAAATTTAGTATATACTTGCGTTTTTACATCTAAAAAAACGTGAGCAAAAAGCTCGTAAACTTAATTAATAATGTAGAAAATTGCTTGACGACGCTTGGCTGACAATTTTCTACATTGGTTAATCAGTTACTGGCATTAAATAATAATTTAATCTTACTCGATTTCTTTGCAAGTCTGGCACGTCATTATTTTCCACGACTGGAGGGGAATACGAATCTGCGATGTCTGTGTCAAGTTTATTCCATGTGTAAATTCCATTGTTAACGGATCCTTCACTCGCGGCTTTCACTCTGTAAAAACAGTAAGAGCGATAAAAGAGATAAATCTCTGCATATTTATAATCACATTACAATGTTCGTCTCCATATTATTACCGTACAAAATGTTCGCAGACGGTGTCTGCTTTTTGCCCGAAATTATTCGACGGAACTCCGCCATCTAAATTTTCGCTAAAAGCTTTGTCAAAGGCCAGAAAGAAGCGTTGAATTGGCACTGCTAAATGATTTTTCGTGATCACGCTACCGAGCCGTAAGCTAAGAGTGAACATCGCTTCCAAGCATTTCTCAGCTAAAGCAATGCGCGCAAGCGTTCCATTTGGAAATGTGAATCTCGCGGTTGATAGTATGCGTACTGTGGGATGCAGAATGGATTTAACAATCGGCTCCTACATTCAAATATGGAATTAAGAGCATTTTTTCCTCATTACATTATTAACATCTAGTAAGATTAATTATATGATAGACATTACATGAAGCACATCCATCACCGTAGAATCGCTGAGATATGCTGTAATGTGATTTAACAGAGCCAGACAAGAAATTAAGCCTCCTTCCAAATTTTGCGTTAGCTTTCTCTTACACAATGCTAACAATTCAACTATATGTGCGAAATATTGCAACAATATGATTTGTTCTCCATATAATCCTGGTGAAATAGTTAAACTATCGTTATTCACACAATTAAAATAATTTATTCCATATATCTTCGCACGTACCTGCAATAGCCGTGAGGCACTCTAAAACCTTAATAGCATTTTGATCACCGGCTAATATCGGCTTCTTCCACATAATGCCCTCCAGACGCATAAAATTATTGTCGTCGATTGGCGTTAAATTTTCTTTCCCAGCGTAACATAATGTCAGCATTCGCAGAAGATTTCGCGACAAGTATCGCGCTGTGAGTACCGGGCCGAGTCTGTGGGATAGCCAGATAACAGATTCTGCGCTCATCTCGGAAATTGTGCATTCACTTAGAACAGACTTTCGATAAATATGATCCAGCTGATGTACTTCATCGCTTGTTTTAATTATGTCGCTTCTGTTATCAAGATCCGCAGGAAGCAAAGCTGGATTGTCTTCCTTAATATCTACATTGCACGTACTCTCCGAAAGATTACTGTCGGAGTGAATATTCGTAGCGTATGTGCTAACATAAGTGAAATCTTCACTAGAAGTTTTACTGCCAACGTTGCAACCGATACTGTTAAACTCGGTCACCAATTTAGCTCCACTGGTATTCGATTGTTTAGGTATCGGAATCGTTGGCGATTTGACGGAGCCACCCGGTGAATTTTTGTTTCCATCGTCATTCAAATCATCGCAAGAATTTAAGTTGAGTTCTATATGCAAATCGATATCGTAGGGTGCGGCATTATTTAAAGAAATCCAAGAATTGTCCTCCGTCTCCATGGCAAATACCTCTGTAATCCAATAAAAGTTTGTCAGATAATTTCCTTCCAGAGATGCTTATTAAATCATTAACGATTCATTCGGCCATCAAATGATATTAATTACCTTCAACATCGTCATCTGCCATATTAGACATATAATTATTAATCGTTGGTACGGAAGATGCAGCGACATTATGTTCAGTGTCTGCAAATGAATCCTCATCTAATGGAGATAAAATACCTTCCCCCTCGCTGCAAGGTCCGCTTAAGTCGCAACTCCTTCAAACAAATTCACGAACAATATAGAGGAGAGGGAAAGAGAGTAAAACAATATATTAAATTACATTAAAATCACATTAAAATACAAGTAAAAATTATCACTTTTTTCCTTACTTTAAATTCACAGTTCTATGAGTGCACGTGTTAATCGAGCCCTGTACATAATCTTTGTATCCTCCCACTGCTTCCACTAAAGGATTTATAAAATTGTCTAAGAATCTACGTAGCCCGAGCCTAATTATCAACTTTAGCAGAAATGTTCTATGATATAATCGAGTAGTTCGAAACTTTGCGAGTGTTCCCGCAGGTATTATATCAGCGTACAGTGCAGTATCCATGATGGAGCCGTTCTCATACAGTTTTGTAATAGATGAGAGGAACGTATCGACTGTATCTCTCGGGCCTAACGTTCTGCGACAGAAAGTGGGAAAAATCGATCTAATAATAATGCTTGTCAAGAAGATAAAATTGTAAATGCACTCACTTTGCAATGGGATCGAACAGATGCCATACCGCCAATACCGCACTATAAGGTTCTTCCATAATTTGCACTATGTGAGGTACTATCAACTGCAAAGTGGCTTCTCTCATGCCACCGGCGTAAGGTAAAAGCCGTTCCAATTCCCTGGCAATTGCTTTTACTTTGCACTCGCTAATTTTACAAAGGTACTTTGACTTCGTTGTTGTTGTAAAATCCACATCATCCTCGATCTTCACAATAGAATTTAAGTCTCGTACCAAACTATTGTATTCTTGCAACATTTCCACAATATTATACAAGTATTGGCAATACTTGGAGAATGGGAACAGACAGCCAGATAAAACTGGTTGAAGAAATTGATGAGCGGATGGCGGTGGAAGACCCATGTATGTTATCGTAGGATAACGAAAAGGGGTCTCGTTTACCTACATATAAAATTTATGTGATATATAATATGTGAATATGACAATAGATTCTGCAATCTCTCTTTTAAAATATACAATCTTTCAGAATTATAGATAAAGACTTAACTAATAGACCTCACAGACACAAATAAAGACAGTCTTAATAAACGTGTGTGAGATCAGCAAATTATAATACTTTTAAAAATATCTAGCTCTTTATAAGTTATGTTCTTTATACAATTATAAACTTTATATTTATTACAAAATGATAAATATCTTATATTGGAGAGTATCAACAAACTTAGATCATACATCGAAAATTATTTCAAATAATACAAAAAATTCCCGAAGTTTTTAAATGTATACGTTTATAAATAAGAAAATATGTTGAAGCATATATAGAAATATTTCGGACATTTCACAGCATAGGAATTTTCTGCTTAATTTCAGTTAAATCTTTATCTGTAATTACAAAACATCCTGCATGACAATTTAAAATTACCGTTGAAATATCATTCATCTCTACATTGCCTACATTGTAGCTCTTAGGCATAATATCAATCTGTAGCAATAACGACACAGTGTTTCTTATACATTTCGGTAAACAGTCTGCCGATGTCTTCAAGATATTCAGACACGTCGCAAATCTTTGTGCAAATAATACTTTTTCAATGTTCCAAGTTGCACGGAATTTGCCGGCCAGAAATATTTCCACTATCAAACAACCGAGTATCTGTTGCTCCTTAATACGCCCGCTAGCTACAATGTGTTTATAATTTGTGGAAAAATCGTGTGATCCTACTGAAGGTTTATAAACTTGATGGTTGATTTTATGCATAAAAGTATGCATAGTTTCTACTTGTATGATTGCCGCCACAGGATTGAAATCTTTCGGTAGGATAATAGGCTGATTAGTGGGCTTATCTGATTTAACATTATCTTCTGAAAGTAAAGAACCTCTTGAACGGCTCAACAAGCGACTCAATACAAGAGGTGACGATCTAGACGGGTTTGTTACTGTCGCAGATAATTCCTCTTCTTCAATACCAGAACTGTGGCCCTCATCGTCGCTAATTCTGTTCGTGAGTTGATCACTTTCTATAATCACATAAATGTAACAATTTGATCAATATTACAAGAATATCTTGGAAATTTCTGACAATTTAAATGTCCCCCCTCTCCCATCCAAACTTACTACTTTTATTGATTGAAGATATTAGCCGAAGACGCGGCGGTACTTTACTCCAATAGGGAGATGGAGTAATTTTTTGTGGATGTGGTTGCGTGAAAAGTTGCACAACACCAGAATTAGTTAAATCAGTATGATTATCGACTAATTGCAGGCAAACGTTTTTCGACTTTATAGCAGCGGAACCTGATAATCTATTGTGTGACAAATATAATATTAGAAAAGTTTGAATAATAAATGGCTTATTTTGAATAAGACTACGTTCGTACTTGTAGCCAAAGGTCAAGTCTATCCAGTGATGTAATCTTTCCGAAACATAAAAGCTCTCCAATGCCTCCCTATGTTTTTCAATAAAATCTTCTGGCGAAGTTGCCCACGCTGGAATTTCCAAGTCTGGTAAATCCTCATGTATGGACTGTAAATAAGACAAGATATCAACTTTTTATATACACGAGCTAAAGACTGTGAATGAAGGAACACATGATGAACGGTAACCCGTTTCAGGAATTTATGTTTATGTAAACAATTCATATTATTTCACCTTAAAAACACTGGGATCAATGAAAAACTGTGGTATACATTCATCAGGACTCCAATCATGTAGTCTTTGAATTGAAGCCGGATATTCTCCAGGCACCCATAAAGGTCGCACATGTTTACAAAGCACAGATTTATCATATCGACGTGAAAGATACACATAGTAGGTAATCTCTGACAAAACATCAGATACATGGTGACCAACCTATGTGGATAATTAACATTGATTATTCGATATGAAATGAACAAATCTCCTACATTCGCGCTTCATGTACCTCAGTTAACTGCGAATCAAACGTAAGGTCCAATTGTCTGTCTCCCTTGTTTAATCGAAATTTTGACTTGGTAAGATCTCTCCAGTTTCCACCATTTCTTGATGTAAAATCCGTTACCCAAGGCATAACATGATGACAGCTGGGATTACCGTATCTCCTACCAGCCAAATTATTGAGCGCAGTTAAATAATCGAAGTTGCTGATACAATTATACATCCACATCTCACATAATTTTTCAATATTCTCATTTAAACCAAACCCAGTGTTGTATGAACGGAGTATGCCATCTTTTTTACTATAAACATTACTCGCAGTTTTCTCTTTATTTTCTTGAGAAATAGCACTCGTACATTCGCTATTGGGCTTCAAATAAATATTATCATTTAATTTCGGTAATACCTACAAACAAAATTAGCCCAAATAAGATATTGTTTCCTGCAATCTTATTGCATACTAAATATTAATTATAAATGCTAAGATATTAGTTTCCTATGTAAAGCACCTGAATAGTAAAATTGTCTGTAATCAATATGTCACTAAGCGTAATTTCTCCCAATGCAAGACCACGATCGTGCAAGTCTCTGGATAATCTCAACAACTGATACACTACAAACAGTGGTTTTCCATGACTCGTACTAAGAGCAGCAGGACTGTACATTACACACCTAAAATTAATGTCTATAAGTAACAGAATACATAAATAATAATTGCAAATATCATTATACATTGAGACTCTATGCAAATGAGTACAGTATCATATTTTGTATACTCACTCACGAAGAGAATAATTGGCAGTCTGCTCATAAAACACTATAAATGCGGATGGTGTTTCTATAGCGAAATGAATTGGTACGAGATTGCAATGTGTTTCAGATGACGTACCATTTGTCACTGACAAGACTGTACCGTGCTTCACTTGCACCAAAGTACAACCATACATTCTATTCAGTATTTCATGCATGATAGTAACGTCGCTCACATTAGCAGTGATATTAGACTGTTCCTTTTGCTCAACAAAATTCCAGGGATCTGTAAATATTTGTAAAGAAAAGATTAACTAATATTTAAAAAAAATATACGGAGTAAAAATTTTGAAGGTACTGTAAATTTTATCGATGCTATAAATCTTGTCGATAAAATATCAGCAGAAATATAAGAAATATAATGGCGGAATGACTACATAAACTGATAGCATTTAAACAACATACTCCATTTAAATGTTTATAAAGTGATAGATTCTGTTCGATTTCTGTTGACAATCTGCAGTGAGATTAGATCGGCAGATTACTCGCGAAATGAAGGTTTAATAAAAACACTGATGACACTGGATCTGTTACTGCAGTACCTAAACAAGTCGGAAACCAATCCGAGTATTGTCACAGAAACCACAGACGGTTTGTTTACTGGACAGTAAGAAAAAGATGGAAATCTAAATGTAAAAATTTAAGATGGTACGCTGAACACATACTGTAATATTTTTTGTACGTTTCTTTCCATAGATTTCGATAATTAGTTTCTGCCACATAATGCAGCAATTGCGAAAACACCAATTCTGCTTGATTCCTTTTGTTACTGGCGGGCCTTCCTCTCGGTAAAGGAATTGCATTCCTGTGTTGCTTTACATATACCTAATAATAATAACAAAACTTCATTTCATATGCGTCCCGTTATATCACCATGTATGTGAGGCGTGCAAGGAACATTGAAAGTACTTTTGCATAAATTCTCAGCCAATCACTGCCCAATTCGTCGATAGTGGGCTGTGCGGCAATTTCATCGTTGGACAAACGTTCGTGACCGATAAAAGTAATCGGACCAACTGTTGAAAATCGGAAAAGCCAGTTTCTGTGAACTGTCAAACAAATTCTCTCATCTGTCAGTATCATGTATTTCGTTGGTACCAACAAATGTTCTTTTATTATATCCATTTCTCTTCGTATTATTTAATCATCGTATTTATAAACAGAAACCCTGATTCTTTTTCTCCATTTTTACTTTATTTTTTACATAAAACAATATTTTTATTGCGCTCCAGAGGAAAAGCTAATGTCTCCCCCCCCCCCCCCAATTTCACCTTAAAGTTATGTATACTTCTTTGGCCTTTAAATAATTCACATTCTTTGTCTTCTTAATAAAATTGTGTGTCACTGTTACATTAAATGAATATTTCGTTCTCTTGATAATAATTGAGACACAAAATAATACAAAAAGTTATGTTTTTAAGTTACGTTCTAACATTAAGGGTTAACAGGAGCGACAGGCGAACTCCGAAATGATATTGGAGACCTCATGTGGTAACAGTGAGAAACTTTGGGCTTCAGGATCACCAACTTGAGAAATAATTAGAATTCCATTCCATAAAAGCTGCACGTTGATTGGCCACACGTTTTCCGGAACTAGAACTTGGACCAATGAAAACCGGGCATCGTGGACACAGGCCTTTAACCCATGGGCGTTATGGCGGATACTAGACAAGTGGTAGCACTGTTAGAATATCTGGGATGGTTTCCGAACGCAGATGTGGTTCACGTAGTTGTGTATTATTTTCGAATCAAATAACCTCAAATTTAGGATACTTAGTTTTCCATGCGAAATCTGCGTATGTTGTATCACATAATTTTGTAGGTTAAAAGTGTCCACTCAGAAAAGAAGAATTAGTACATGATATAAGGTACTGCTTTGTAATTAATACAAATATATCGAAGACATGAGTAAAAATCATAAACGTTCGAAACGACTGAAGTCGGAAAAGTCGAAAGTAAAGTTGAAAGCTAAGAAATCCACCAATCAGTTACCAAAAGGCTTGAACATTACGGATACATCGTTCAAAGTGAAGAAGATATTGATACGCGAACAATTGAAGCAACGGAATGAAACGGAACTTCTCAGCACTCGCAAATTGAATATTGACGTACGTAAATCAATTCACGTTTTCTTCCTACGAGTTGAGTGGTAAATCTTATTACGCATAATCCTAATTAATGCGCCAATTGGAGCTTCATATATGTATATATTATTGTCCAGTTAACAGATTTTCTTTTTTCAGGATTTGTTAACGCGTTTTCGACATCATAATCCGTCTGTAAGAGAAGGTGCCTTGAGTCAATTGAAAGACATCTTGTCGAGAAATCCACCAAAGTCTTTGCATTCGCGATTGAATTCTTTGCTACGTGGTATTGCGGCTTTGTCTCTGGATAAAGAGAGAGATGTACGAAGAAGTTCTTTTCACGCGCTCGACTTTATTCTCGGCAGTATCTCAAACGAACAGCTGATACCCTTGCGTGAAATTGTAATATCGTATTTGAGCTGTGCCATGACGCACATTGATCCACGTGTCAAGCAAGATTCTCTACTTTTCCTGGACGTGCTCGTGCGGAATTGCGACGGTGTATTGGCGAGGGATAGCCATAAGATATTACCCAATTTTTTGAACATGATTTGTAGATTACATAACGAAGTTAGGCCTGGGGCACGTTTAACGACGACTCTGAATTCCACGAGCACCGATGTGAGATGGAAGAATAAGGTTCTGGAACGTTTAGCTAATATGCTTGTCTCTGTTGTAAATTGTAGAAAGCTTGCGACAACGCGGTCGAACGTGCTTCCAATCGCAAGAGCGAAAAGATACGTTCCCGTTTATAGTAACGATGCGACTCGAGCCCACGAAATCAGTCTTGAGGACGTGAGCTCGATGGGTAGTTGCGTGGAAGAAACACTATCTATGCAGGAATTCATGAAGTATGTAGGTTTATTGATGCCGTTGATATCTGATATTTGGCTCGAGGTGTGCCCGGATGAAAAAGTCGACAGCTACACAGAGCTTACGATTTCGAGTGAGGCAACCGCGTTATTGAAGAATATCGTTGTAATTGTACGCTCGATTGTGGAGTACATCGATACGTTTGATCGCGACGATTGTAACGTCGATCGTATGAGGCACTGGTTCAAGGATACGTTTCACGAGGCGTATATGAAGAATTTTCTGTCGAGATTCCCGTATACTGAAGTAAAGCTGCTCGTTAACGAATACAGGAAACGTCAACGGGATTTCTCTCAAATAGACTTTACAGATGGATGTTTGGAACAAAACTTGGGACTTTGTCAAATTCACGTATGGTTTACATCCCTGTTTGGCCGTAACGAACAATTTCCCAAGTCTACCAAGACCCATTGCTTGTCCATTGTAAAATATTTAAATGGTAAATCAATATTGCATCTAATTAATACCGTCACATATTTCTTTCTCATAAAACCGTGACCTTTACCCCCCCTTTTTTTTTACAGGCGTTATTGAAAATTGGTGCGACTCGGCCGCTTTGTCGCAACTAATTGAGCTTTTAAGAACTTTGTTTTTGAAAGCTGCTCCAGTTTGGTATACCAACCGTATTAGTTTAAGCCATACTTTACAATTGCTTATTGAAGCATCCTCTCGTTTATCTAAGAAAGAATTGCAATCGCATTTGTACCTGACTATCGGCGACATTATGTTGAAAAGCGATTTAAATGAGTTACACAGGTAATCGTATAGAGCACCGATCGGTAATGATTATCCATTGGCATGCGACATACGGTGTACAATCAACGAGTAGACGAGTTGCGAATTATATATTTTTTTCATTTGACAGAGAGAAGACGTTTGAGAGCTTTGTTACGATTTTACCGAGCTTACTCCTTCGGCCAAGCATAGATGACGTTGTAATTCGAATGATCAATCAAATTGTTTTACGTTTCAAGGAATGGATCCGCAAAGAATTGATAGCTAGCCACGAATCGATTATCGGTAAGAAATTTTGTGTGTGTATATCATCCTGATTAAGGGCGAATCGAATTAATTACATACGTGTGTTGTCACTTTCGTCGCATTGACTCTTTATTCTTTTCAGAAAATGCTAAAAAGATGGAAATTGTGGGTTCGCACAATGATAAACAATCGAGACTTATGATTTGTAATCTATTTTACTTTATAGATTCACAGATTTACTATTAAATAACAAATTGAGTATGTGGCGCGTTGTGTGCATGATCGATTTTTCCGTGTCAAGTACAAGTCTTAAGAAATGTTTATTGTTTATCATGTCATACAAATAGGGTGGTTATTACTTTGTAACAAATAGATTGAAGAAAATTAATCGACCGCCGTTTTGCAGAGGAAACTTGTCAATTTTATTACCATACGTACAAAGACTATATAACAACGTTTTAATAATTTAAAATATGCCTCTTGTGTTATTCCTCTGGGGTTATCTCAAAGATCGATGTTACGCTAAACGACCAAAAACATCGAAGAACTAAAAAATAACAAAGTACATTCGCAACAATTCTACAGCCATGTTGGCTAATGTATTATATTTCAAAGTTTTTAAAAACGTTCTGTTTTTAAGTCCGTTAGAAACGGCAGTTCTGTGCCGATTCTAACGGACAACATTTTGAAGATCATTAATTTATGCGCGCAAGCAAATTTTTATTCTTTTACAAGATGTATCTAAATTACTAAAACATTTTTTATACGCGTGTTAATAAAATTTACAAGTTTTCTCTACAAAATGGCGGTCGATTCATTTTCTTCGATCTATTTGTTACGAAGTAATAACCATTTACTTTCAACACAATCCCTGGTCACCCTGTATATACATTACTAGGTGATTACCTAGTAATGTATGATAGATTTACAGAACATACGATTCGTAAAGATTGCGTTTGATTATGATATTACATTAACATACAGTTAATGTTACAATTGTACAAATTTACATAAATGTTGCTTTCTCTCATCCCTCGTCCTCCACCCTCTTAACCACACGAATCTCCCCCACAGCAAAAAGAAAAGAATAGGGACCAGTGACAGTCTCTATACTCTCATGACTATATTGTAACTTTATTATGATGCCACTGATGGTTTGTGCCATGTGATTTCTGCTATACATGTATATTTCTCATCGAATAGTATTTCGGAAAATATACAAATATTACTTTTTCCGCACTCGTGCTGCAGGGTCACAGCATTTTTACAACTGACCCACTTGAAGGGATAATAATTGGTAAAAAAAAGTATATACATATCCGTTTATATATACATATACCACTGCTACACTTGATCGTTTGCAAAGCCAAAATTTTCGAATCCGTTTTCTCCATTCCGACTGTTACTCGGTCGCTTGCTCGAATTGCTAACATCATTCGCCGTTTGATCCCCGATCGAATACCGACAATGGCTGTTGTACGTAATAGTCGCGACATTTTGCGAGTCGCCTTCCTTTCGCAGGACAGATGACATTGGCAGTTGTCCCTTGAATTTCGGCCAACTTTGACAATTTTTCAACTCGTGTTCTATCTTTAGATACTGTTTCTTGGATTTTTCCGGCCTGTACAATTTTCTCTTGCAGGTATTCTCAATAACCCGCTCTATCACAAGGCTCTCGACGAAGAGACAAATGAGAAAGTTGGCTAGAGCGAGCGCTAGGATAGCGAGCCTCCAATCATAGACGGGTGGTAGGATCAATTCCAGCGCGTTCACCACCCAAACCGCGGGATAAACTGTAATGTATGCGCATATGGCCGTTAACAAAAGTATGGAGAATATAAATGCGCCGTTGGTATAGATTGCGCGTCGGTAAGGCTTCCCGCGTGAAAATATAATAGCCATTGTGATGTATTGAAACATGGAGACACAGTAGACGGAATAGTTTTCGTAACATGTGTATCCGGTATTGCTAGTGGGAACGAACGGTGTGAACCATGGAAATTGTTGAACGGCGTGAAACGCTGTCGCTTGGAAAAGGGTCATTACGAGCATGTGTGCCGTTAGAGAAAAAAGCGGAGTGAAGCTCAGCAGACTCGTCATCGGTGGCGTCTTGGATAATTTGTCCACGCACGCGCGAGTCTTGCCGAAGAAGAAGGCAAAGTTGATGATCAAACAGATATCGATAAACAGAAATTGTAGATCCGTCAAATTCGAGTCTATGAAGTACAGTATTATAACGGACAAAAATTCAGTAAGGGAATACGCAATCATAAATTTGAAAATTCCGAACGATGTAACCAGAGCGGCACGTCCTTCCCGTATTACTTTCAGGACACAGCTTATGTCGGGTATTCTCGAGGTGAAGGGACTGGCCACGCTGCAAGTGAAGAAAAAAAAAATGTGTGAAACTCGTCTTGGTGATTAGCACCAGCGAAGGAAGTTAAAATTATAGGCAAGCGTATAATATAATATCTCGACGCACAACTGTTCGTTTCTCACCTGGATTCCGCTTTAGAGAGCGATATACCGACGTGCGCGGCCCTTAACGCTCCGCAATCATTAGCGCCGTCTCCGCACATGGCTAACAAACACGCATCGATACAGAACAATTTTCACGTTATCACACTTACGTATCGTTTGCTTGGAATTTGGTTTATTACAAAAATACTGCGTGTTTTACGACACCCTCGAGATCTCGTGTACGTACCTACGTAATAACCGAGTCGCATTAGCTCCACGACCACTTGTTGCTTCTGATCGCTGCTCATTCTTGCGAATATCGCACTGCGTACGCAAACGCGATCTACAAGATCGGGGTAATGTTCTCGCATCATCTGCCACGTTTGACCCGTTAAGGCAAATCTGTAATTACAATGGGCTATACCGCGTTCCACATCTTTAATCGTCGGTGATATCGAGTGATGTTGATCCTGCGACTTCTGGAAGGGATTGAAAGGCACGTTAACCGCACGAGGTTTGCCACTAAGTTCAACGGGTATCCTGTTGAAAATTCCCAATGTAAAAAGAATTTACCAATCTTGGAGACGGGGACTGTATATTGAAAGTGATCTCTGGACGATCCTTTTCGTCATTCGAGACTATGCTCACGTCTACCATGTGTTCTTCGGTCGAAAGTATTCCGCATTCTCTCGCGACGCTTGCCGCAGTCTGAATATTATCTCCTAAAAATCAAAGAGGTCGAGTCTATTAGAACTTACGGATACGCGCGCGCCCAGAAAAGAAAATGCATGGCATTGTTTCATCAAAACCTGTAATCATCATCACGCGTATATTGGCTTCCCTTAGTTCCCTAATTACTGGCGCCGTCGGTTGCTTCAGTCGATTTTCCAGAATGACCAGTCCCAAGAATTCCAAATCCCGTTCAACCGTTTCTCGAGACAGTCTCGATATCTACAAACATTTTGGGAGATATCGCGCCGTTGAGACCGCTGATATAAATCGTGCATCGACTGAAAAAGAAAACCGTTGCACGAATGTACAGGGATGTATTACCTCTGAGCTGCTCTTGGAAGCTATCGCTCTGCGTCCCATCGCTATCACGCGAAATCCCCGTTTCGTAAATTGCTCTAAAACAAGCGAAATGTCCTGCGGTACAGTTTCCGCTTTGCTCAAGTCGATTATCATCTCGGGAGAGCCTTTCACGTAAGCTCTGAAATCGTCCGATCCCGATGCATGTACGATCACGGACATTCGTTGTAAAGAACTCGAGAACTGATACTGCTGTATTATACCAATCTCCGTGATTTCGTTGGTATCTTTCGTCAGGCTTGTTTTGTCCGGTGAACTGACAATAATCGGTGCTATCGAGTCATATTTATTTACATGCGTGCAATCCGAATCTTTCAATATCCACTTTGTACTCTCGAACATCTGTAACGTTCAACAATATTCGACACGTGTCGTCACACATGAAGTCGTCAGATGGATGTCGAGCTGTTAAGCTAGTAAAAGTGATAAAAGTGGGAAAGATTGTAATTTACTTTTGCGTCCAAAGGGTCACCGCAAAGTTCTCCATCGATAAGCGTTAAACTGTGACAAACTAGCATTCCTTCGAAAAGCGCATGACCTTTGAGCTTGGGTATATCCGTCTCGGCCTCGGCAAGCACACCGTTCGTACATGGTACAACGCCCCACATGTCCAATCCATTCTCGGTCAATGTCCCAGTCTGTGGACAATGAGGAAAAGGAGAGAACGAACACGTTTAAATGTTCTGCGCGCGACCGTGGGGCTTCATTTTTATCTTTGTTTCTTTATCTCTCTCTCTCTCACCTTGTCGAAACACACGCAATTAATACTGCCGGAAACATTGATGACCCTGTTATTAATACAGTAGATTTGGGCACGTTTCAATCTCGCCTGAGCGTACAGCTTGCCTACAGTCATCGCAGCTGGTAATGCTGGCGGTATAACTATCGTAATAATATCTAATGCTTTTATCGCTATATCTCCAGCTAAAATCCCTCTCGAGACCTAAATTATTTATTGTAATGTTAATGTCAGTACAGCAGGATATCGATATCTTGCATCGCGTTGTAAAGACGAGATAAGTGGTACGATAAAAGTATATGCGATACGTAAAACAAGTATTAACAAGTGCTTGCTTATATTTAAAAGCCTTAGAGATTACCTTGAGTATTACGGTATATATAAAGCCACAGGTTGCGATAAATGCCAAAATGCCGATGAATTTGTATGAATCTTTATCAAATTTGAAATCCGCTGGAGGTGGATACAGTATAGCGGCGATGAGAGCACCTCTGTTAGTTAGAAAACCAGTTCTAATCACCCTCGCGAGAACGGGCTGATGATCGTGATATCTACGAATGCCACCCATCAATTATCCATATCGTAATCATAGTTATCGGCATCTGTATAAAAGTATGTGTTTCGTACTTGGTTTGTATTATAGTTGTTCCGCTGTACAATGTGTGATATGTATGCTCCTTAGCGTCATACAAGGTACAGCGTAATGGTAAGAATGTTTTCGTCACCGGTACGGACTCGCCTAAAATCAGTGAGTCGAGCACATAGGCATGTGCATATATCAAGACATTTTATTGGTGAAATAGACGTTTGAAAGATATATTACCCGTTAGCATGGACTCGTTTAATATACACTGCCCAGTTAACAGGACCGCGTCGCACACGAGAGTCGCTCGATGTCTCGGTAATTCTATAAGATCGCCGGGTACCAATTCCTCGCTAGAGATATTTTCAAAAGTACCCGTGTCGCGAAGTACACGCACACTTTCGGACGACGCGACGGTGCCGCGTAGATTGATTTGGTTCTGTAAAAGTGCGAATCGCTATGAGATCGGTTTTACAACAACGAGGCAGTTTTCCATTTTCCACGCACCTTGCGCGTTTGCACTATAGAGCTCGTTATGCCGAACAGCGACATCAGTATTATAGCGATAGTATAGTACAGATAGCCCTCCGCGAACCATACGGACAAGGTGAATACTTGAAAAATGTAGAATGGATTTAGAACTTCTAGCAGTAGTAATACGCCGATACTCTGAAGCGGAACAACAATGGCGTTATTTCCGTAGACGACACGCCTGTAATGAAGGCAAAAAGATTTCTTATAATTGAACGAAAATTCCGCTCGTTTAAGCGACTCGCACTCGACAATTATAACTCTTACAATAGTTACAGTACGAGTATATTTGAAAATGTAAGTCACCTGAGCAACTGTTCTTCCTTGGACAAGCCGCTCCGCGAGAGATGGAGGTCGGAACACATTGTACCATTGTCAAGTCCTACGAGCCTCGAGAATATATTATTCGTAGTGTCCCAGACGTAACATTTCTTTTTGCACCAGAAAGCCTTGTATTCACGCACCTCGCGACGCGTGCCGTTTTCTAGATTAATTTGTAGTTTTTTGTCCTTGATTTTTTCCAAGAGACCTTGGTCAACGGTGCCCAAAGTGGCCAATAAGCTCTTTGCGCTAAAAATGCACGCAGATAACGGGTAGTATTAGGTCAGTGTTAACGTGTGTTTTATCTCTTTAAACACGATATTTACTCACGCGCTCGCATTACCCATAAAAGCTTACCTTACGTTTCTAGTGGAAATTTCCTGGACATCTTGTACAAAGTATGACTTGAATCCTTGATACTCATCCTACGTACACGTACAACATTTACAGTTGTTACATCACTATACATAATTATTATTCTCAAAAATACTCTATTTAGTCACGCGATAAAGTAACAGCTGATATTGGCGATGATTGATAGTGTAAAACAGCGAGAGAAAGAGAAAGACTTACTATCGCGAGTATTTTCGTCGCGCAATTTAAAGCACATTTTCGGTGAGTCGCGTACAGATGTAGCCGAGGATACCAGTGAAATAATAGCCGAACCAATCCGACAGTCAATACGTACGATACGTATGTCACGGTGGTCCTCAGAGAACTCTTCTCGAATCCGTAAATATGCTAAAAGCACGTTAACAATGTAGTCATGTTGACGCAATTATTGCAAATGACAGAGAGCGAGAGAGAAAGAAAGAAAAAAATTAATGTAGAATTGTAGATTTTTATACGTGTGAAGAAAGATGGAAAAGATAGAAAAGAGCAACAAAAGGCATAATACCAAATGTTCATTTTGATCAGTATGAATTTTCTGCCATAAAGCATCGGACTTTTCGTTATCGTTCACCCCTAAGAAAGAAATAAACCATAAAAGTTGTCAAACCCATAAAATATACTATATATATTTGATATAATTTATATACCAATTATGTATCCATGTGTATATATCTTGCGGAAAATTATTCGTGCAACAATTAATTGGTCTGCCGACCAGTCTTGCTTTTCAATGCTTACCATTAACATCGACCATAACTTGAACAATTTCTTTCGTTACGATCCTGCAGTATGTCACCAAGTGTCTCTTGTTTTCCTCTTTGCCGCCGACGCGGTATCTCCTGCGAAATGCAAAGTTGCTTATTTAAAGATTATTTAGCGTACCGGCTTTGATACACGTACGTTAAACCACACGCAAATATTTCATCGATGTTACGTAACAGAAAAGTTACGTTCTGACAATTATCTATTATTTTATATATGAGTTGAAGCGTCTCTCTTATATTAAAGTCGCTATCATCCATCTATATAAGATAGATAAACATCATTTTACAGATATGATTTGAAAACGGAAGTTAGGTATATATTTTTCATTTACAGAGAGAGAAGAAGAGAGGGAGAGAGAGGGGGGGGGAGAGACAGTACGGACGCGTCAGGACATTACGTTTAATCTACGTAGCGCCAATTTATCACCGCTAATCTGTCCTTCTGCAAAGCCAATCGCGCGATTGCGGTCTACCTCGATTTTCGCAATAGCTCGACACTACCTAGCTATACCCCGTGTATATGTGTTATATTACAAATTGTAATTATGGTAAGAGATTTAATGCCACAACGTACGATGTGTGTGTGTGTGTGTGCGTACGTGTGCGTGTGTGTGTATCGGGACATTCCACTTTTTTGCCTCGTGTTGCCTCTCGTTTACAGATTTCAAATACGATATGGTATTTCGAACAATTATTTATCCTTATCGAAAGGCTTCAACTACATCTGTTGGCTTGCAATCGAAAACTTTATTAAATTTTATAGAGTCGATCAGAAAAATATTTAAAACTAAAGATTAAATGGTTAATCGCTATATAGTAAAATTGCCATTCGATCAAAGTTTCAATCAGAAAATCTGAGAACAACTCGACTCTACAAAGAGGAGAAAGGACAAAAAATTTGTAGGTGTGTGTGTGTGTGTGAGAGAGAGAGAGAGAGAGTGTGTACAGTTATTTGGTACCCACGCATACAGCACGCATATCTAAAAGACATCTTTAAGACATCTAAAAGACGTCTTAAAGGTGTCTTTTAGACATGCGTGCTGTACGGGCAGCTACCTAAGCTACAGCATAGTCGAGTGCATTAATATTTTCTGGTACGTGACATTTTCACACTTTTCTGCAATGCTCGAGGAACATAATCGATTAAGAGAATTTATGCTCGCGGAAAAAAGAAAAAAAAATCGCACGTGTCGTCAAGCGTCCTTGTCAACTATTCTAGGTTACATTAACATGGCATTTGCATATGTGGCATCACATTCGAAACGTGTGCCTAAATGTGCGTAAATATTCTCGCATCGCATAAATTGCTGGTCATTATAATTAACAATTTTTTTAATCAAGCCCTAATAATCATGTAATGATGTAATATAAAAAATATGTATGTATCTAGGTAATTATTATTATTACGGGAATCGTTGTTAAATTGTTGACGGCCACCAGACGATGTTACGTGAATGCATCGAACATGTTCGATGGCCCCGCGTTCTAGATAATATAAAGTAACGCTAATTTGATTAATATCACCGTACGAAAAAGTAGTCGTGTACTTGTATACGATACGATTGTGTGGCGATATCTCGTGTATGTCGCACTACACTACAAGTGTATGTATACATATATTACACGGTACAAAAATTATATCGCAAACGAAACTGCAGATGTGTGCGTAATGATCTTGTGTACATAACTGCTATAAGCACGTAATCGAATAAAGATTTTATCATCGGGTACAACCGTAATTTGCGCTTTGTCTCGGAGCACTTGCGCGACAGCAGTGCAAACGCCGCGACATTGACAATCAACGAGAATATATCTATTCATTTATATCGTTTATCAATAGATATCCTTAGATACGTATATTCTGTGAATAATTTAATAAATTAATAAGTTTGAACTGGTCGATAAAAGATAAGATGTATAGGCGATACAGGATACTCATATATGTATATATAAATGAAACGACATAGTTACATGACTATATGTATATATGTGAGAAGCAGAGTACGTACGAACGCGATGCTTTTCGAGTATTGGTCCAATCTCTTCAAGCTTGCCTTCGCCTCGTCGATGACGGCAAGAGCGGGCGATTTCGCGCGCGATAGAGAGACACGCAGGCGCGTGTTCGCGCGCCTCAGTTTGAATTGAATTTTCGTCACGTGCGGAATTTTCAAAAATCGTTGGCGAGCTGGCGAGGCACCGGCGTCGGGGAGAAACGCAGCGTGGAGCCCGCGTGCACGCGTGGCGGGAATTTAATAATTTTGCTTGAAATCCGAGCAATCAACGTACGTGCGGAGCGGAAGCAATAAGAGTGCTTCGTTATCGTTGGCGGCGCACAAGGTCAGCGAGCGCACTTTGAATACCTCTAGTCGGCGCGGCTAGAGCACGACTCGGCGACTGGAACGACTTTCCACGAACGACTAGAAAGAGAAGGTCGGTGATTAATGTTTTTTCACGCTCGGCGAGCTCGGGTCTCGTACGGAGCAACATACTCCCGTACACTGTCGCGCATTTTACTATCGCGGCGCGGTGTCACACCCCCTCCTCCTCCTCCTCCTCCTCATTCTCCTCCTACTTCTGCTTCGGCGATTTCGACAAAAAGTTTCGCAATAGCATACAATAGAATTTCTTTCTTACAATACTGAGAAATCACTTAGTAAAATATTACGGCTCTGTTGATGTACATTTACGTTACGAGCACGGAGAGGCAATAGGAGCCAAACGCTAGGTATTAGGTGCGGAGATCATATCAGATTCAAGTCATATTAGACTTCTGTTTCTCGATTTATACTTATTTGTTTTATTTTACTTAATTATTAACGTTGCGATGCAAATATCTTTTTGTTATACTGCAGATGTCATGGGAAAGACTTTGGTCTCGAAACGTGTGACTTGTTCAACTGTAAATCTAATATGATTTCCGCACCTAGCGTTTGGCTCTTATTGCCTCTCTACGCTCCTAACGTAAATACTGAGCTTTTGTGCTTTTGTGCTTAAATCGAAAAAGATAACGGTAATAACGGGTGAATTATCGAACGCGATAATCCACGTACCGGCGCATACCGATGGTACTACGCACGCGCGCGCGTCTCTTTGCGATTAGTCCGTTGAAACAAACCATAAAAAAATATAAATGCAACGAAGGGATCTTATTCTTATACCTCGATCTATATTCAATGATATGATACAGATATGATCCGATACGATTGTAGTCCGTGGATATAAATGTAGAAGTTGTGAGCGAAAGATTTATCGGGCAGAGAGAGTACTAGCCAAATACCTTTGAGAAGGAATCTACGAAGAGGAATCGAAGAGAAGAGCGCGCCAAGTAAAACACTTTGACTGCGAGTGAGAAACCGGCGTACGCGCTGTCGCACGGATGTAACGCGCTGTGCGTTACGTAAATATACGTAACAATGTAATTGTTGACAAATGAGACGTTGGTTTCCTCATCTTTTATTCTCGCCATTAACAATAACAAATATATACGTATGGTAGATATACGGTGCGCCTCGCCGATCGATGGCAAAGATGTATAAAACTTTACGTCGCGTGTCCGTAACAAGAGGAATCGTATACTCGACGAATCTTGGCAGCTGATGAAGAGATACACCGAAAAGGATGTGACGTAAAACATTAACGTTGACATTGATGTATGCGCGTCACGAAATAGTACAAATAACATATTACTAGATTAATTCTGGGATGTGCAAACGAAAGCGAGTTTAATCTCGTTGAATCTCTCTCTCTCTCGCCGCGATTCTTTATTCCACATCCGGCTTATCGTTGACACCTGTAATCCTCTTCGTACAGTTTCTTTATAATGCTTCGACGCTTCGATGAATTGAGTGCACTTTTGTCTCTCGCTTTGATCAAACAACAAATATGCTATCTACCATTGCCATATAGCGTCGCTGCTGCTTCCATGGCCATCGAAGCATCGATAATAATAAACCTACTACCGCTGTTACTACTACTACTACTGATAATAATAATAATAAAACTAATAGTAATAATACCTCCCTTGCGCGTAGCTGTCGTAGCTACGAGTTTATCATTTACCGAGAATCTCGTCTCTCGATCGAACCTAGTCCCTTCTGTCCTAATTTGCCCGCAATTTCAATATCATACATAAAACAAAGCGAAAAGTTTATATGCGTCTATGCATATAATAATATTGAGTCGACCTTGAGATGTACCGGCCGATAATCCTATGAAGAGCATTATGAATCATAATTTGTCAGTTATAAGACGGCTATAGATATAAGAGATTAAAGCGCGCGTATATATATACATATATATATATGTATATGTATGTATATCACACTTGTTCTCTCACGTTTACGTGGCAGGCAAGTCGATTAGTTTGGCCAGACTCGAATTGGAACAAGACACATTTCACTTATCTTTTATTTAACCAAATATAATACCACGTGTAATGCCAAGAAATTGCGAATGAGCTAAACCGGTTACAATCTATCCTGTCTCTAAATTAGCAAGCGATTACGATAATCAACCCACCACGTGCGTTAAGCGATATCGCACGCTGCGCCTTTGTCATCTCGGCGAAGCTTGAACATACATACGCATTAATTTTTTTTGGGGGGTACGTACGTCCAAAAGCGTTTTACAACGTATATAATAACGTTGTAAAATCATAATGCACAGTTGACGTTCCTCTCTTGCTCAACCCACTTCGCTAACGAGAGCCGCATTAACTTTATAGTATGGCTTGTATAATAATGCGTGACAAAGGCTCGTATGATATAAATCAGAATCAAGGAGAAAGGGCTCTGAGCCGTGACGAGATGTACGTGTCAAAATATAAAATACTTTATTGTTAAACTAACATAAAGATTAACTTAAACGTTTCGGTCGAATTCTTTTATATTTTGACACGTACATCTCGTCACGGCTCAGAGCCCTTTCTCCTTGACTCTGTTGTATAATGTTTCATAAATTCGAGTAAGAAATACAACCGCAAAGATAATCTTGCAAACAGCTTTATCTGCAAACACTCTCGGGCAGGAATACAAACGTATATATTCTTATTGTTGGTAACAATCAATTCGACTCATTGTATCTTCACGTACCGTTTATAATCTATACAAGGACTACACTACGGCGATAATCTCTAAATCCTGTCTCGCGCGACGCGCTACGTTCGTCTCGGCATAGGATTCTTTTACGTAAACAGACAGAGACGCTAAAGAAATTCTCTTTAACAGTCTTTCTTTGGCTCAAATACATTATCTACGTCCAACTGCGACAAAATCTCGTCGTCCGAGTCGTTATCGTTAGTAAAGTAGCTTACTAGAGCTTTCGAGTTTTCAATGTTACGTTTTACTTGTAACGTGGATCTCTCATTTACACTCGAGTCTCTACAGGCTGCGTCGTCGTAGGACGAGAAATTATTGTCGCGCGAGTAACGAATTCCGGAGTTCTTAGTGTTTGCATCGGTGGTGCACCTGTTCAAAGTCCGCGGCACTTGTGTGGAGCGTCGCTCCTTCGTATGCCTTTGAAAATTTTGCGTCGATTCGACATTTTCCAAGCGCTCCGTACTTCCCTCCTCTTGCAAACGACACCGCTGAATTTCGCTCGTACTTTTGTACACGCATTGCGAACGATCCTGCTCTTCCGGAATTGCAAAGTCTGCAGGATCGCAGTCGGCAAAGTCGGCAAAGTTGATGCTATCCAGGTCGTCCGTACTCGATAGATCTATCGAATCGTTGAAACGTCCAAGTGTTTGGTTCGTAACTTTGTCACCCTTCGAAGTCTCGTACGTTTCACTCGTCAAACGTGACAGTGGAGTGTTTGTTGTTAGCTCGCAAGCCTCGATCCTGGGTCGACGACCAGACGAGTCGAGCACGAACTGTGCGGCTTCACAACTTTCATCCGTCTCTCGCGGTCCAGATTTCCTCGCGGTGCAAACCGGCATACGATCGTCCGGTTGAATAATCCTATTTAATTCCGCGTTTGGAGCACGGGATAAAATGCTCTCCATAAGAGATGTACTTACAATCCGGCCTTTATCCGAATATACGGCTATCAAGTTGGCCAAAGATACTAAAATATGATATTTATTCGTCACTACGTACGTCGTAGTTTTCAGTAGTCCTACATCGCGCAGAAAAATGACCACGTTTGGCTCTAACAGGCCGGGATAAGCCAGCGGGATGTCGCGGTGAATAGTGCCTTCTATGCTACCTGTCGAATCCTTCAATATAACGAACGGATCGTCGTGACTGTGGTCTATGTAGTCTAGTATACCGGCGAAAAACCTGACTTTTGCACTGTCGCAGTGAGTAGCGTCCGCTCTATCTGTAACAGCAGAGACGTTGTAATCTTGCAAAAAGCTTGTCGGCAGGTCGTTGGACAAAAGTTTCCAAGCTCTCTCTCCAACCAAGTTTTTCTCATCCTGCGACTTGATCTGAACGCTCTGGACACCGCGCGGCTTGGTCGCGCTCTTTTCCAATTCTTTAACATCGCTCAGGTAGGACGCAGCTGAGATACCGCCGTCGCTCTTCACGTCTGGTATCAAACCAGCTGGCCCAGGAAATATTCTAATCAGTTTAACCTCTTTCGCGAGTCTCCTGTCGCTCGCGGACTCGCGGGTCTTTTCTCTGGATCCTTGGTGCTGGGACACTCTGGGACACTTTGCTGCGGCTTCCACGCTAGGCTGGGGAGGTCGCGTCTTTCCTCGTACCCTCGCTACCCCCGATGGATCATTTTCTATCTCTTTCGCAAAGTTCTTTTCAAATGTCTCCCTTCGAGAGGTGTTCTGAAAGATCCTCAACAAATCCGTTCGCGATACACTCTGGAAAGGCGTTCTCACGTGATCGTTGTCCTCGACATTCGCCACAGTATCACAGCCCGATTGCCCAACAAGAGTACTGTCCGTCGTTGACGGCGAAGCTTGACAACTGTCCACTCTACGCCGCTTCGCAGACGGTGCTTTCTCGGCGATGTTTCGACACGGAGCCTGAGATCTCCTCCTCGTCTTCTCCTCGACTTCGTCCTCGTTGAAAGCATCCTAGAATAGTAGTAGCGTGAGACAAATACGCGTCCAACTTGTCAGTCTTACGAATATATGATGAGACAGGCTCTACCGGAATTGCTGTCCGCGCGATGATAAAAAGAACACACGAAATGCAGATTAGTCAGATAAGTTGCAGCACGATTGTACCATGAAAAGACTCACTTGAAAGATCCAATCGTCACTTTCGAACATAATGTTGCATGATCTCCTCACGAAAATTGTGGCAGACTCAAAACAATTCAATGCCGCCCGCGTAGTAAACGCGTTCCAGACTTACGAGCCTGCCAATCGCGGAAAGTTTAGTGGATTTTCAAGTATATCGAAATAAATGCGCATGACCGGTCCGACTGGCGTGATTGGCTCACAGATATAAGTCAGAGCCATAGGAATAAAGGCCTGTGTCCACGATGGTCCGAGTTCTAGTTTCGAGAAATCTGTAGCCAATCAACGTGCGGCTATTCCATAAAAGCTGCACGTTGATTGGCTACACGTTTCTCGAACCGACTTTACTGGCGGAAGAAAAACGCCCCGCGCACCAGTAATTATCATCGCTACCAACTATACTGTTTTTACTGGGCAGTAACCACATTTATTGTCAAGCACATCCTATGTCTATGGGTTTAAACTACAGTAAATGTCAGAGTGCGGTTCATGTTAGGTTGGGATTGTGACATTATGGTACATATGATCATATGATACGCAATGGAGTATCTGTCAAGCAGTATATTCCTCATATTAACCTGGAGCTTGGCGAATTGTTTTTCACCGGTATGTCTTCCAGCGATCATCACTCTTTTTTGTACTTGAACGTTAACTGTTGCTTGTACAATAACGTTAACTTGTATAACACTTTTGCAATTTAACGACATGACGGTATCGCGACGGACGTTGGTAGAAATGTTATTGCTTTTAAGGGCGACGCCCGTGCGTATCAACGTTTACCAATTTTGGTGTCAATAGAATTGATATTGCGCGTCAAAATCTGGCTTCACAATCTCTCTGACTAGTCTCTGTAGATTCGATTTTAATACACACGGCTCTCCATTGTATTTTCAGATTACTGCACATTACTGCGTATGGGGCTTGTGTGAATCGTCAGAGTATTGTTGCGACGAAAATGTATGCTGCAGCTACAGAGACTACGATATATGGATCACTGTGTAAATATAATAGATTTAAATTCGGTAAAGTGCGCATCATGTGTGTGTATATACGATCCACACGAAATTTTCCAACAGGGTCATCATAGCTGGAGTTGTAATTGGGATGATACTGGCCGGCACATGTCTTTACTATAATCTCTGCCGTATCTACCTTTATCTAAAACAGAGATATTATGGCATCAGTTCCGTGTCGATGCCATCAGAATTTGAATCCGATGAAAAATCAATAAGAATATCATTTCAAGAGTAAGACAAGTGACTCCTTGTCGTATTAATCATGTAATATTCCAATTTTTTTAATATAAGCAGTAACTTAGGTAAAATTATGTCTATAATTTATTAGTCCGTTATAAAAAAATTATACCAAATACATATCGAGTAAATTACATCCTTGTATCTCTACCAGGCGATCAAGTTGATATTTTTCTTGTACTTTTCATTCATAAGGTTTACCACATTTCTATCAGATAAGACTGTACATGTATGTTTATATATATATACATATATGTGGGGGAAGAGAGAGAGAAAGAGAGATATATATGCACTAATCTATACTGTACTTCCATTCGAGTATCCTATCGCTTATTTTAAAGGCGTTCCAATTATCGTCGATCTTCGACGCTCGGGATTTAACGTGCACTGCCTCGCAAATCTCTAATGTATCTTCAGGCGTGAAAAAGTCGTCGAGCTTCGGCGCTAAATCCTTTTGCCGTGGTTCCGGATCCTTGCTTCGCGTAATAGTGGACGGCAATTGTCTCTCGTCTATACTCAAATCCACTAAATTTTGGTAAATCGCCTCGTCCAACGGGAAATCGAGTGCTGCGGAGATCTGCAAGGCAAGAGGTAAAGAGAATACTCTGAAATATAGATTTATAGATTTATATATATATATATATATATGCTTTATTACCTTTAGCATACAGCCAGAAAGTGGGACTTGGTTTACAAAAGTTCCTTAACCACTCATTCATCCATACTCTCTAATCTCTACCCCTAATCTCTTTCCCTTCTTATTTCTTACTTCTAATTTCTTATTTCTACAATGACTAGCTCATCTTTTTTTGCCTTTCTTTTTCCTTCCATAATTTACATAATATCTTTCCTTTATCTTCATCTATTACATCGTTATATAATCTTTCCAACTTCTTTTCCATACTAAATATACAGATTTATATAGATTTACCTTTCCGTTTAGAAAGTTCTTCAGCGCAGGTGGTAAATGACTGATGTCCGCGACAATCTTCTGCTGTTCAAGTTCTTTCAGCTTATTAATGGTACAGATGATCGAGTTGTACTCTGGTTGCGTCAAATCTTGCACGGTTAGAGCCGGTTGAACAATACGTCTCTCACTTGCCTCGCTTGGTCTCGCATCAATCTGTTCCCTGCGAGAAACCCGCGATACCACAGACGTTTTGACGTTGGGACCCGACACGTTACGAAAAACAATCTTCTTGACTGGAGGCACTTTGTTTTTCGCTACAGTCTTGTAATCGCTACGCGACGTAACACGAGACCGAGTAGTCGAAGGCTTTGCGGTTCCCCCTTGGAACATTTTTTTCATAACGCTTGGTGCAGACTGCGACTTCGTTATTTTTGGCACTTTGAACGCCGGCCTCGCGTTTGCCTTTTCCACGCGATCGTCACCTAGAAAAAGTTGAGGTTTCAGTTTCCCTCGGGCCACCGATCGACTGAGAATCTCCCGTTCTTGCCTCATTTACGCGTTCACTGGTCACAGCTCTTTTCAACGACGTACCTTTGCTCACTTTCCCCTTTTGTCGCAGATACTTTGCACCGACTCTCGCAACGTCGTCTCGCGAACTCTTATCAAGCTGCGACGTTCTACAATTTTCCTCTGCCCCAACATTCTCGACATTCCGACCACCGTTTACGCCGCACACGATCATCGCGACTTTCGCCGCATCCTTGTCGGAGGGAGATGAATTCCGAACGCCGGCGAGCGCAGTGCCGTAATGCGAGGGGTCGACGTTGTCAACGTTGCAATTACTTAGAGACACGTGCAGAGGATTCAGGGGATTCTGAGGTACGTTGCCATCGACATTCGTGGATCTTGCGAGATCTACAACTCTGATGGGCTTGCTAAGCGTTACCATTTCTTTGACTGTTGGCCCGCTCGCCCGCGCAGCCGGCTCGACAGCCTGTTGCTCGCGACGTCCGACGGTCCGCTCCTCGTTTCGCGCAACGTCGGAGAACTGGCAGAATCTAACCTTCGGTCTCGAGACCACTTTGCTATTATCCGCCATAGTGGAAATCTGATAAAACCTCCGAGATCGGACGTTCGCCGAGTGCGACGAACCGGACTGTCGGAGAAGGAAGAGTATTGAAAATACTAGCAAATTTCACGCGCTACGGTTTAACCGCCGTACTCCACGAGCCGAACCGCGAAAGAGGACGGGGCCGCATTTTCAGACAGCGGCCTAAATCTCAACAAATTACCTTTTGCAAATTGCTTGAATTGCTTCCCGTCGCTGCGAAATTCAAATTTACGATCTAAACCGAATCAATCGGCCACGGCTCACGGCAGCCAGGTGCGTCGAGAAAGCGCGCGCACCGCGCCCGATCCGAGGGCGCTGCTGCGCGAGGCGGTTTTAAGGCTGGATTCACATGGAGCGTAACTTGCGCAACCTGTGAATCCAGCCTAATCCCTAGCGGAGATTCCCTAGCAAGACGTGGCATGGCGCACTGGACTGCACCAAACGCCTGGTGGTAGCAGTGGCAGCATACCAAGCTTCAATTTGAAAAGTCTCGTGTAACGATCGTTTCACACGTTTTCACTGCCGCAATTCAGCTCGGTTCCTGATTCTCGTCGAGGAGCGGCAGCGCTCTGACAATAAGTGCCAGCAGTCTCTCGAGTGGCGGACCAACTCGTGTAATAATGAAGCCCGCGTAAGTATTGCCATTAAATCACACCGGGTTTCAACCTCTCGACGGACCCATGCGGGAACGTTGAGGCGGACTTGTGGGCTTCAAGACTAATATCCGTATTCATAGTCGTTCCTCAATTCTCAAGGGTAGTTTGTCTTTGTCTCGCGTATGGTAAAACGTAGTAGCGAGACAAAGACAGACTAACCTTGAGAATTGAGGAACGACTATGAATACGGATATTAGGACCTGAGCAGAATAGCCGTCTTGTACTCTTCAGACCTAGGACAGTTATTGTGCGCTCCTTTAAGACAAGGATTTAAAAACACAAAACGTTGTCTTAAGAGTACAAGACAGCCAGTCTGCTCAGGCCCTAAGCTGTCTTGTATCCTTAAGTCACAAGACAGTTATTGTGCGTTGAAGCCTGAGCAGAATGGCTGTCTTGTACTCTCAAGACGTAAGACAGTTATTGTGCGTTACTTCAAGGGCTTAAAACATGAAACGTTGTCTTCAGGCTGTCTTAAAAGTATAAGATAGATGTTCTGCTCAGGCCCTAACACACAATAACTGTCCTGTGAACTTAAGAATGCAAGACAGCTATTCTGCTCAGGCCCTTACTCCAAGACCAAGATTAAAGGCTGGTCTACAATACATGGAGTAAGCTGGAGTAAGGAGTAGGAGTAAGAAATAAA